GTGAAAAATTTAAGGGGGTCTGAATACTTTCCGTACCCACTGTATATATATATATATAATATTTGCTTGTTATAGACACACACACACATTTAAATTATTATAATAATAAACTTAATTTTATTAAGTTTCGCATTTTCACTATAAAATATTATAAAATATTTTTATATAAAATATATAAATATATAAATGAAAATCATCACTTCATATCGATTATTAATAATAACATTTTATTAATATATAGTAATTACATTGTTTTTAAGGCAATTAATATATGTGTTATCAGAGTAAAACATGTAATACAAATAAAAAATACTATGATGTCCAGACAAAGATACGGAGTCTCAGTTGGTTTACTAAAATGAATGATACATTTTTCTATATTTAATAAATGTTTGGCACATTTTTGTATCTACTGGTGCTGACTTTTATTGCTCAGCTTTCGTATTGCTCATTTTGTGTCTATACTCAAAAATCTGTGAATTAAAACGGTATTAGTACTCTGCTCGTATCGGTTTCCGTCCTTTTTAAGTGTGTTCTTGTCCCCTTGCCAGTGGCTTATAAGCAGACTCTTCTCACAAATAGCTGCCCATGCAGAGGATGCCACCAGAGCTGTTTATACAGTGATGATGTCTCCCATTGTCCTGCAAAGCATGGCATGAATGAATCTGCACTGGCATCCACTGAAACGGGTGTTCTGCGTGACTCATGGTTTGTGAGTGGAGTGTATTTTTAAGCCAGTTTTTGCAGTTTCTGTGGAGGAGGTGAGGTGTTGGCAGCTCAGGGACTCTCCATCTCGACTGTGGAAGGAAGCAGTTGCTGTCGTTAGCTGTAAAGGATCATAGTAAGGATGCCAAGGTGAACGGTGAACGCCGGGTTGAGAGTATTAACATCCATTTAGTATTTTTGGGATAGTCTCTGGATAGACCAGTTTACTGTCTATTTAGCGCTGATCATGCGCTCAGAGCTTGTGTTATACAGCATAACAAAAGGCAAGAGAAAGAGAAGCCTGAATGGCTCTGTCTTTTTTTTCCCCTTTCTCTTACAGAATCGTTTTTCCCAGTATTATGTAGGAGCTACACATAAAACCCACCCACGTACACAGTGTTGCTAAGGTGATGGCTTTAATTCCTCAGTCTAAAAAAAAACCAACGAGGGATTGTGACTTATGAGGATGTCTCTCTCGACACTAGTGCGTGATCACTATGGAGTCTGAAATCTTTTGAATTGGTATGAAGATTGTATCACAGACAGTTATGTGGAATACATAATGAAATATCCTCCTCAAAATGGAGGAAATGAAATGCACAGGAAAACAGATACAAGTGCTGAATCAGTTGACATGCTGCTTCATATAGTGAGTTCTTTTTCCCAGTATTATGTAGGAGCTACACATAAAACCCACCCACGTACACAGTGTTGCTAAGGTGATGGCTTTAATTCCTCAGTCTAAAAAAAGACCAAAAGAGAGCAAAAAAAAAAAACACCAACGAGGGATTGTGACTTATGAGGATGTCTCTCTCGACACTAGTGCGCGTGATCACTATGGAGTCTGAAATCTTTTGAATTGGTATGAAGATTGTATCACAGACAGTTATGTGGAATACATAATGAAATATCCTCCTCAAAATGGAGGAAATGAAATGCACAGGAAAACAGATACAAGTGCTGAATCAGTTGACATGCTGCTTCATATAGTGAGTTCGACATCCTCCCCTTCCAAACGCCTCCTATATAGTCATACAGGAAGAGTAATATTCAGATTTCTTCGGTTAGCCTGACTACTCCTCAAAAGTTTTTGTTCATTCTTCTAATTAAAGGAATCTGGTTCAGCTGAAAACTAAAAATTTGTCATAATTTTCCACATACTGTACATTATTGTTGCGCCTCAAAACTGTATTGTTGACAGTTTTGAAGAATATTCAG